TCCAAATATTATATATGTACTCATAGGGTAGCTTTCATCTGTTACTGTTATCAGTGTTTGTGAATCACACAGTCCTCTGCAAAGAAACTTAAAAATTGCATGAATTATAAATGAAACAGTCTGTAGTTCCATGGTGCCCTTTGGCAATGCCAGCTGAAAGAGTTGCTGTCCCCAGTTGCTTGTTAGCATTTGCTCTGTTGTGCTGACAAACCATTCTGTGTAACAGATTGGTGAACTGACTGAGATGGATGAAAGAATAACTCTGCAGGGGGAGACTATTTTTCACCCCGAGTGTCTTGGAGCAGTTGATACAACTGGAAGAGTACAGGAGTGGGAAAGACCTAACCTAGCAGTACTGCTGAGGAGAAAAGTCACTTGGAGACAAGAGGCAGATTACTCAGTCTTCCATCCTCTAGCCTCTTCACATTTCTTCCTCTTCCTGGCTTTTCTATTTCTTCCTTTTATAGATTGCTGTTGCAGAAATGGGAGTCAGGCACTGCACAAACATTTAGCCTCTCTACTCCTGAAAGTGACAAATCACTTTAACACAAAAAATCTAGCTTTGACTGTCTTCTGATACTGCAGCATGATATTATAAACTAATTAAGTAGATAAGTAGAAGGTCTGACTTAAATAGCCACGGTTATGATCCAGACTCAGGGCTGAAAAGTGAACGTTCTCAGTACTTCATACAATCACCTTCTCATGGAATGATGAAAGAGCACTCTTCTGAATCGTACTTTGCCAGGCAGATGAATTTTACTGATTTTTCCTTCCCCCCCTCCCCCCCAAGAACTTCTGAAAGACCTCCTGGGTTGTTAAGTACTTTCTTTGTGTATTTGTGGCTAAGTGCTTGAATAAGGATACAGCCACAACATGCGCAGTAGTGAACAAAAAACATGATGCCTAATACATGCAGCTATGCATGCTGTATGACATGCAGTATAATTTAGTCCTGCAAGTTAAATGAGGTAATGTAGAATTTTATATCAGCCGAGTCTGAAAAACAAGTAAGACCATGTCTGTTAGATGTTTTTCAATGAAAAGCTCTCGGACGTTTTTAAGATTAAACCTTGCTGGTTTTATTGGCATCTTTTTAAATTGGATGGTAGGAAGGTGCTATGGAGAGAATATTAAGGAATATTTGAAAGCAAATTCCTGGAAAACATTAAACTGATCCAAATTCTAGGTGTTTCAAGTTGGCAAGCAAGAAATAAACCTCACTGCTTTTTCTCTTAAAATAAAATCTCTGTAGGAAGTTCATGGCTGGTGCAACTTTTTGGTACTCTGCTACGTAGACCTGTGGCAGGAGAGACTGGAAAGTGATTAGTGTTCTAAGCTTGTAATTCTTATACTGCTCAATACTGAATTTCTTATGTAATCTTTCCCAGAAGGTATATGGAAAGCAACTCCTAAGCTAGGTACAACTGTCAGCCTATTGTTAATAACCTAACCCTATTTATTATAATAAATTGAAAACCAGCAGATCAGGAGCTACTTCATGAGCTGTTCAGTCATCACTTCAGCAGTGGTACCTTCCATCAAAAGAACAATGCGGACAACTGAGAAGCGTCTGCTTTATTGGCTCAGATCTTTATGTGTGAGTCAAGATCCTTCGCTGTCTGAAGTAGCTATTGTGAATTTAGGCTGTTATGTAAGTCAATGTATAGACATCTCGGAAATGTTTTATGACAGAAAATGATGCACAAGACACTTTTTTATAACATAACTTGAATGGAGTTCTGGGACAAGCTTTTTTTTCTTTCACTCAAGGAAAAAAAAACTTCAAAAGCATCTAATCATCTTTTTATATGTAAAACTTATCAAAATACCTTGCTTGTTGATTTAAATGAAAATCCTTGCTAGCTGATGTTTAATAAATGAATTGATTTTTGTCTTCATGCTTATTGTGTCCAAGTTCTTGACTCTCTTTTTCCAGGATGTGAGAAAGGTATGAAAGCTTCCTACTTTTCAGCTATATATATTAGTTTATCTTTAAAATTGAACTGAATAAATAAATGAAAAATGTTCTGTGAAGCTGTAGAACAGAGTACTCCTGTCAAAACCTTCTTTAAGCTGTATCAAGGTCCATTAAAGCATCTAGAGCAAAGTCACTAGGTCTAAGATATACACTAGAGTTTATTGACCTGTTTAATACATTTACTCAAGATCATAGAGGTAATTTGAAGCTTCTAAATTGCATCTAAATTTTTTAATGCGTCTTAATGCTGAGCCCTTCCCAAGCAGAGACTTGTTAGCAAGAACGAGGCCATAGCTTAGCAAATGTTTTTAGACTGCTTTGAGCTAATCCTGCTCCACTTGCTTGCTTTGTACTGCCTTGGATAGATATCTGCATAGTCAGGCTTGAGGAACTGATGAAGATTCAAACTTAATTTTTTTTTTCTGTTCCCTGACTTATTTTTCAAACAGATTTGTTCCTGAGCCTTTTTGGTGCTTGGATATATAAATGGTTGCACAGATACAAAGGACTAGAATAGAATGCAGTGATAACAAATGTTAAGGGCAAGGGGTCCTGCTTCAGAGGCTCTTTACAATTTTTAAAGCTACTATGGGGGGAAATTTTTGCAATGATGAGCAAAAGGTAGTAACTTTAAATCACAATTTTCTATTGGTATGAGCTTGTTCAGAATAACGTGGAAGGTCGCTGGCCAAACATTATGGAAGAGCTTCAAGCTACTGTGTGGCTGGATAATGAAATGGCAAATGAAATCTAGTGCAAATAGAAGTAATACACTAAAAAATACTTCTAAATAAAAATACTAAAAATACTAAAATACTTCTAAAAATACTTCTAAAAATACTTCTAAAAATACTTCTAAAAAATAGAAGTAAAAGAGAAATAGTAGACTGTGAACTGACTGCTAGCACTTAAAATGAGAATCCAGGGCTTCCAATCATTCTTTGAAATTTTAAACTTGATGCCTGTGTGTGCCTAAGTTATATGTATGTATGTTATATTGGTAGGAAAGAATAGACAATAAAAAATGAGCTAGGCTGCCATGCTATTAAATTATTGTTGTAAGCTTGTATGTTGAATGCAGTGTGTATCCGGGCCCATTTATCACAGGATAAAGTAGAATTGGAGAGAAGTAGCAGCCATATTAACCAGCTTTCACGTGCAGAGAACAGAATTGGTAGGATTCTTTATCTTGGAAATATGCCTGGGTGGGTCTGAAAACCATTACTGGGACATGAAGGGAGAAGATGGAGAATGATAGTTTATGAACTAAGCAAAGTGATGCCAGCTGTGAGACAAGCAAAAAGAGGTGCTCCTTTATCTTACGTAGTTAAACTGTGCTACTTTACAGGTTCAATAAAACAAGGAGGAAAGCTTACAGAGTAATATTCCATGAAAGACTCTTAAAAAAAAATACGGATATTGCTTCTGCAGATCTGCCACAACCTTCCAGAGGCCAGGAGAGTTTTACCTGTTCCTCTCTGGTGATCCCAGGCAGGGAGAATGGAAACTGGTGGCCCTGTAGTGCGTGAAGTTGCCAGAGCTACCAGGCTAGGTGGGACACTGGTCTGGCCTAGTATGGCTGCTCTTCCTGTCAGGTCTTCGTTTGGGCTTTTGCTAGTTTAAATTATATTTGAAATAGCTACCTAAGTTTCTTGTATCTAGCTTACTTTATTTTTTTAGTACAAACAAATGTTGATTGATCTCTAGAAGATAAACTTTTGCATTCTTGCTTGTTTTTGATAGTTTAAACTATTATAATTCCTATCTTGTTAGTGCTTTCTGATTAGTTCAAGTGTTACTGGTGCTAATAACGTTACTAAGCTATCCTGAGCGAGGTGGAACTTTGATCTTTCAAATAGATTCTGTCCCACTTAACTTCACTCTATCCTTGTGTTTGTATCATATACACACATTTAGTTTTCAAAGAGAAAAAGTATTTGGATATAGGAATGGTAACTTTATTTCAGTTTTAAATATGTATCACATGTGAAGATTCTTTCTTAAGCATTATTTGGTCCTGCTTTATAATTTGCTATGTTTTTCTCATTTTTGCATAGTGTGTAAAGTTTGGTAGCAGTAGGCTAGTCTATCCTGAAAGTTCCTTGATATTCAGAATGTGGGGGACGTTCCTGTATATTTTCTTTTTAATTCTTACGTACGCTTAGATATATTTATTTACAAAGAGGCTATATATTGCAGTATCCTACAAGAAGACGCTGATTATTGATCCAAGTCGTTTATAATTTAGAGTTTCCTATCTGAAGAAAGGCTAAAAGACCTCTTGTTTTTCCTTCCTTCCTGTTTTCCTCTCTGGTTCTGAGGGAGAGGAAAACTGTTTTACATTAGAAATTCAACATGTAGAAATTCCTTCTTTCCTGGAAATCTCTATAGCTATGTTTATGTGGTGTAACGTGGTGCAGGAGGTACCTGAATTGGTTTAGACCTTGAGTTAGCACAGTGCTCAGCCTGAGCTCTTAATCTCCTCACCGCCATACCCCGTTTTTTTTTTGATTCTGAGTAGCTAGCTATGCAAAGTACCCCATTAATACTGCTCTCCCTACTAAAGCAAAATGGTTAGAAATGGCTTGGGCCCCTCTTAATTTCCTTGGAATTTTAGAAATTTGTTAGTGCTCTTTTTTAACATCAGTGACTAATTTTGCATAGGTAATCCTGTGTTGAATGTTCGTGATGTATTCTTTCATGCTCTGGTGACTTTATGAAGAGATTATGAGCTGGAAAGTTTGTCTCCTCCCTGTCCTCCCTTCGTATTTGTTAGTCTCATGGAAGATTTTTCTTTTATATAAATCTGTCTCTTTCAAATTCGTAGACTCTCACAGTTGCAGGGGCTCTACCACTAAAGCTGCATAAAATCTGAAAACATGACCAGGTTGTTTAGTTACCTGAAGTTCTGGCATTAGCTAAGTGAGTTCTAGTTAAAAATCATATTAATATCGAAAATGCATGGTTTCGTTCTTTACCCTGATTTCATTTACCTTTTCTCTTGCTTCCCTTGTTTTAGAGACTCTACAGGGGTGGGTAATTCACTGGTCCATAAGCGGTCTCCTCTACGTCGAAGCCATAAGACTTCAGCATCCTTGACCAAGCTGTCCGTACGTGATGGACAGAAAGCTAAAAAGCCACTGTGTAAATTTGAAGAAGGTCAGGATGTCCTAGCTAGATGGTCAGATGGCTTGTTTTATCTTGGAACTATCAAAAAGGTAAATATTTTTTAACTTGACTGGAGTCTTGCAGGATCATATGTTGGTTAAATATGACAGTAGTACTGTCTCGCTTATTTAGTATTAAATACATTCTTCTGTTTAGTCCGTTTACACATGGCTTCCACTGCTTTTTTTTCAGATAAACAAACTGAAACAGAACTGCTTCATTATATTTGAAGACAGTTCCAAATCCTGGGTTCTCTGGAAGGACATACAAACAGGCAAGAACTTCAATGAAGTAGTCATTGTTTGGTATTTTGTTTGTGTAGATTTCTGTATCTGTTAAAATAAATGGTTACATTATATTCTTGAATACAAAAGAATAGTGTAATTTCATTTGACCTGACGTTGTCAACTAGGTAAATAAAAAAAAATTCCTCTTCAAACAACTCTTTATCCTTGTAATTAGTTTTTATTTTCACATAACTAGATGCAGGGAAGAGAAAGTACTTTTAAAAATAATCACATTTGAATTTGTTTGGATGGGGGCAGAGTATAATACTCTATCTTAATAGAAAGTTCCAGGCCCTCACTTACACTGAGGCTGTAGTTTGTGTCCTCCTATTTTTTCAGTTGAAACAATATGACATGGCAAGCAAAGGCTGGATAATATCAGGTTTGAAGGGGATTTTCAGATTTAAATGTAATGCTATAGCTGTTGCACATAGCAAACCATTAGAGATTGTGGAGTTCTCATGTACTATAAAGAAATATTCAGTTACCAAGTGAGATAGCATTGTGCATTAGCATTGATTTTCAAATACTCGGGGAGTGGAAAGTGTTTTGGTAATCTAATTCTAATGAAGCGTGGATGACAATTGTAGTGACTGTATCTGAAAATCAGTTAGAATATCACATAAAAACAATGAAAAGCTGATCTGGCTCTTACTGCTTCTTGATGTTTAGGATAAACAGTTTATCTGCTAACAGGGTAAGCTTTGCGTTCATAATGACAAAAACACTTCTTTGTTTCCAATAAATTTTTAAAATACTGCTATTGTTCTGTTTCTGTGTAGTATTAGTTTATGATCTTTGATTCATTTACAGTAACAATTAAGCATTAGCGCGTCAATATAACACCTAGAACAAATAACGTGCATTTTAATCCAGATTTTTACACTGATTTGCAGCACGCTGGAGCAAGATTTTTTTTTTCCAGTCTACAATTTAACATTGTCTCTTAGCTCTACTTTTATTGTGTGGTTTTGTACGTTTGCAGATACATATGAGAAGTAATAGCACGTTTCGTAGGAGTGTTAGAGTTCAATATTAAATTTAAAGTGTCTTGTGCAGATCCGTCTTAAAGATATGCACCAAATCGGGCATATAATATTTATACGAAAAGGATGCAAATTACTGTCCACATTAAACAAATCTCTCAGTCGTCCAGATAGGATTTATTGATGCATGTTTTTGATTCTGCATTAACATTCTTTATTCACATTTTTTTTTTATTATTGATATTAAGGAACCATTGACAGCATAGTAAATAGAAAATATATAGCCTATAACCTATGATAAGTGACGTAAAAACTTGTGAAAAATATAGTCAGTACAAAATGTCTGAATTTATTTTTTTGTTAGGAGGTTAAGCTCTATAACAATCTGTTGCTACAGTGCATGGATCTGTAACGCAAATGACAATAAAAAGCCATACACATGGTGACCATTCCAACTGCAGATGTAGTCTGAAAAAAAAATTGCACTTTCATCTTTGTTTAGGAGCTACTGAGAGTGGGGAAATGGTCTGTACGATATGTCAGGAAGAGTATTCAGAAGCACCGAATGAAATGGTTATATGTGATAAATGTGGTCAAGGTAACTAGAATTTTTTTCTATTTGCTGCACTTTAAAAGACACACTGGTTTGTTTTATGAAGGGGGATATTTGTCTGGCTGTGACTCCCTGCTCAACTCATCTTAAATTTTATAGCCCTTAGAGGCTGTTAACTGCTCAGTGAATAATGATAATCCATCTTAAAGTGACTAACACCTGTTCTATAAGTAAAGTTCTTTTTTTTTCCACGAAGAAATTTTAAGATGATTTGAGTGCGGTACTGATCTTTTTGATGAGATTTTTGGTACTTAATGAAAGATAATGCATTGCAGTTGCGTTAAAGTTATATGCAGTTATTTCTGCATAAGCTTCCGTTGCCCTTATAATAAGACTTTGGTTGGTCATTTTTAATACAGGTTATCATCAGCTGTGTCACACACCGAATATTGATTCCAGCGTGATTGATTCGGATGATAAATGGCTCTGTCGACAGTGCGTTTTTGCAACAACAACAAAGGTGTGTTTCTAAAAAAACACTTTTTAATACATCCCATGTTGCTTGCATACTTTTTTGAGGTTGAAACTGAAAAATAAAAGACTAGCCTCTTTCAGAGATTTCTCCTTTTTTAACCTTAATCTATATGGTAAAGTTTTATATGTTGGGAATTAATATTTATTTTAGAAATAGTCAAAATTTGGTTTTCAATTTATTTTTAAAGAAATAAGCTAGTATATTAAAACATAAGCACAGATGGAAGTGTTTTATTTGATTACGTATAAATTTTTATAACTTTCAAAAAGGTATTGGAAACATGCTGTTGTCTTTATAAATGTATGCATTTATTTTGGCCCAGAGGGGTGGCGCGCTTAAGAAAGGACCAAATGCCAAAGCACTGCAAGTCATGAAACAAACATTGCCATATAATGCAACAGACCTTGAATGGGATGCAGGTCATAAAACCAATGTCCAGCAGTGTTACTGCTATTGTGGAGGACCTGGAGAGTAAGTAAACAGATATTCCATACGAACTTTTCTTCATAAAGCGGCTGCAAACTTTGGCCTCAATTCTGTAGAATTTTACTTGTGAACTTAAATTTGTTTCTATCTCTGTTGTGCCTAGATATTAAACTTGATGAATATTGGAATTTGGAAATTAATATTTTATGGCGAATATCTTATGGGAAGCATATTATTAATGGCTTAAACTCTTCCATCAAGTCTCTTTTGTTTATTTCAGTTTTATTATGTGACTATCAGATAACATCACAGTTCCTTCTACAAAAGACAGTAACATAATTTTGTTGCCTTGCTACTGTTCTGTGCTTGAGGTTGGATAGAAGTGTTTGCTGACCTCCTTGCAATTACGGGCTGTGGTGATAACTGCTCTGTGAATCAGTGGGGGGAGACCTCGGTCTTTAGGTGTTAACACAGCTCTTTGTCATTAGTCACAAATATAAGATCAGTTTATTAAATTTTGTTAGCTTAGACGACTGTATGTATTTTGAAGTTCTTCAGATGTTTTACGAAAGACAGGTGTATAAAGCACTGCCAGATAAATTAAGTTTGAATATGCAAGCAGTGACTCCCAGAAAAAGAAATGGAGTGTTTAATTGCTCTTTTATCCTAGATGTCACCACTTCCTCATTAGAATTTTTCAGCTAAAGTCAGTTTAATAAGACTGCCCGCACAGATGCCTTGCTATCCTTGCTCGCATTAATGAAGTTATATTGCATTGTTTCCTTACATCAGTAGTATGCACTTCCTGTAATGTAGTATGCTATAACATGGGATCCGATCTGATTTTACCTTAACACCATGCCCTGTTTTTCAATTACTGTGGGAAAGAAGGCTTTCTTTCCTCTTATAAAGGCATTACTATTCTCTGTCCTCTGTCTATTCTTTCTTATGAGGAACGAGGACTTCTAAGCAGGTAGAGATAAATGCTCTGGTATGTGCATGGATGAGTGAATGCGGCTTGGACATTTTCTACCTCATGAACACTTTGTGGCAGAACAATTGTTTATTATTTTTATTAAAGTAGCATTGAAGATCTCAAGGCGATATTGTCAAAGTCCCACAAGGAAGTGAATCTTTTAAATTTTTACCCATATACAGAGCTCTGGTTTGAGAATTTTACAGACTTGGACAAACATCAGTTTTTATTTTGCCTGGTTCCTTTTCTCAAGGGAGAAGCTGAAAAAGAGAAAAAAAGGCATAAACTGTGAGGTTCAGTTTGATGGTTCAAATATTTGAAGCGTCAGGACAAATGTTTGTGACTTAATGCTGCTGTGCCTTGCTTTGGAAAATAGCGAAGAAGCTAATCCAGTGTGTGGAAGGGGGTCAAATCGAGTTCTTGAATTCTTATTGAAAGTTAAAAGGTCATTTTCAGAGAAAATTCAGTTTTTATTTAACAACTTAATTCAATTAATTCAAATGCAGTTTTACTAGACTACCACTTATTATTCAAGGCCTTTTCTAGTAAATTTGTCTAGACATTTTTCATTATGGAACTAAACGTTACTGACATATCCCTACAGATGATTGTGCTTGTTGTGAACTGGGAAAGTCAGTTCAATCAGAAGGTTCCTTGCTATTTAATTTAAATGTACCATTTTCGATAAGTTATTGTAATACATCTTGTTTTTCTTTCTGTTGGTGAAGCTGGTACCTAAAGATGTTGCAGTGCTGCAAATGTAAGCAGTGGTTTCATGAGGCTTGTGTGCAGTGCCTCCAAAAGCCAATGCTTTTTGGTGACAGGTAAGAAACTTGACCTGTACTTTATGGTGTCTTTATTTAAAATGCAGAGGGTATGTCTCACATGTGAACTTTTATTAAAGCATCCATAATATGACAGTTTTTCCAAAACATTGGAATATGTTTTGTGTAGAAGATTGGACAAAATGAAGCATGTGTCCAGGTTTCAGGAAATTTCACTTTGTCATCTCTATAAAAAATAAATAAAAGCTGGGGAGAAAGAGGTAATCAGTGAATAGTTGAATTCAAACTCTTATTGACTTCCTTTTGCACAGAAGTCCATTATACTCTAGGCACTGGCTACTAGGAGACAGGAAGCTTTAAAGCAGGCCACTTCAGTGGGCCTGTAAGCTACATATGGGCTTCAAGTTCCAACTGTGTAGGTGACTAATGTCCCCGATGCAACAGGCACCATGCTCTGAGGTAGACTGTGAGTATGTGTGTGTGTGCAGTAGGGGATACCTAGCAACAGTCTGGAACTCACTATTAGTGGACTAGGATAGATAAGATTTTTTTTGGTTTTATTTCCCTGCTTGTTCCAGCTCCTGTAGTTCATCTGTATGCCTATCCCCATCTGGCAGTGCTAAGTCCCTCCAAATCTTCTCCTGCTCACTTAAAACTATTAGTACAGGGAACTGGAGAAGCTGGGAGGATAGTTAGGGTGCTGAGTTAGGGTGCTGAGAACTCTGTACATCCTCTGCTCATGTGGGGTGAGAGGAGAGTAAAGGAAATGAGCAAGGGCACTGGTGCGTGCTTTCATTTTAAGGGGAACTGGAGCAGCAGGAGCAGATGAGGAGGAAAACTAGAGAGAGGAATCAGGAGCATCTCATTCATTTATCTCTCATACTTTCTTTCAGCTCTCAGCTGTGCTGCAATGTTTGTGTAGAGAAAATGAGTTAGGGCCTAGGAAATGCCCTGTTAAATGCATGCTTCCACTTGTGCACAGGTTTCTGCATTTGCCAAGGTTTCTGCCTTTGCAAGGACGGAGTGGGGACGTTAGGGAGCATCTTCACCAGTACGTTCACAGGTTGGGGGACTTTTTAGGGAGTATGGAACAGTGGTACTAGGGAGCATCCCACCCTGGGAAGATAAGAGGGAAGACTTGGAAGATGGAGTTTAGGAAGCAGGAATACTGAGTGGGCCAGATACAGGACAGCGCACATTGTGGAAGTGGATGAAGGGAGGTGGAGGACTAGGCAGCTCTCAAGCATCATATGGCTGGGTTTCTAGCCTGCTTATTTGAATTTTTTCCCCAATCTGTCTTTGAGAAACAATTGGAAGAGTCCTGTTTGGAATGATGAGGAGGTGTCTCATAACATGCCGTGTGTTAAAGCGTTAAATGTGTGTGTGTACACAAACACCCACCCACCCACACATACATACGTATGTATATATTTTTAGGTTTTATACGTTCGTTTGCTCAGTTTGCAGTTCTGGACCAGAATACCTCAAACGTTTACCCTTGAGATGGTAAGTACAAATTAAATAAAAATGAAGAAAAGGGTGAGTTGAATACCTGCTCTTCTTTTCTTTTTGATGTTTTGAGTCTCCTTGCAAATAAGGAAATACACTTGCTCTCTTGATCTCCTGAGCTGTCCTTACTACTTCTGTGAGTAGATACACTTTTCCCTTCAAAGCTTATCTTTAAATGCACAGGTATATTGTAATTGCATGCTCCTGGGACTTGTTCCTGGGGTTGTTCAGTTAAGTTGCAAGCAACTGCAGGCTTCTTGCGTGTATGAAGATCAAGACATCTAAACAAAGTCCTTTTTGCAGGTTTAGACTACTGCCGTTAGATAAGCAAAATGTAATGAGTACAAGAGTAAATATCTTGACACATTCCATAGTAGTTTTATGGATGAGATTTAAAGTTTAGTTGTAGTTTGGTATCTTTTAACTGTAGCTCTTATTAGAAATAATATCCAATTTGATGGATATATATGCTAACAAATAAATGGTGAAAATTACTTTGTTAAATGTTAATTTACCAAAGTACTTATATGAATTCAGAATCGATGCATTTGTGTATGAATTCTGAATCACTTAAGTACCCTGCTGTTTGAACCAAATTTGGAGCCTAAAAGAAGATCATGACAATGAGATGAGGCAGAGATAAAAATAAGTTTCATAACAGAAGGAGTCACTTAAGGACGACAAATGACAAAAGACTTCATAATATTTTTTCCTGGATTGAGAGTGTTTCAAGTTGTGCTCTGTATTCCTCTAGCCATATTGTGCTAATATCTTTTATACTAAATTATTTCAAGGCAAAACGGTTGTGAAAAATTAAATATATTTTTCTCAGTTTTTGATTCAAATATTTCTGAATTCTAGGGTAGATATAGCACATCTATGCCTTTACAACCTAAGTGTTATTCATAAGAAGAAATACTTTGATTCAGAGCTTGAACTCATGGCATACATTAATGAAAACTGGGATAGATTGCATCCTGGTGAAGTAAGTAATTGAAATACTCTTTCTTGTTTTTCGTAGCGGTGCATATGTCCTGCAAATTAGTGGGGGATGTGGGACCTATGAACAATTTTATGCAGGAGGTTAGATCCTTTATTGCCTTAAAATCTGTAAACCCAAATGAAGAGGAGAGCATCTTTAATCTCTTTGTAGAAATAGAGTGCTTTTAAGCGGTGTACATTTTTCTGAGCTGTAAAATTTCTGAAGTGATACAGGTAATTATTAGTTTATTGTTTGCATGGCAACTTTATTTAGACTCAACTGTTTATTAATTCTGTTGCATATCTATCGATCTATCTGTCTTCCTTTGTTTTAATTTTATAATTGTCATGTCGTTCTTTGATATTTGCATGTGCACAGACCAGAAAACCTGAATGTAGAATTGAATATAGAATATAGAGAGTATGAAGACATTTTCAAAATCTCTAGGTGTAATACTTGACAAATCGTTGTACACAACGATTTCCTCTTTTCTCCCTTTTCCCAACAGGGTATACGGTCTGTCTGTCTACTGGTCTAAAGATTGTTTTGATCCTTTTCCAGTCTGATTCTGCTGCTTGTCAAGGCATCTTGTTCTTAGTTCACTGATATGCTAGTTATTTTTCCAGCAATTTGATTTACTGAGTAGTTATGTTAGCATTACCGGAAATCCATTTCCCCACGCAAATTGACTTCATATTTAACTAAGAGGAGCAGTGTAGGTACTTTTTTCTTCTTGCGTGTAGGGTTCAATGTGAAATTTATGGCTAAATTCAAATTGATGTACTATTAGTAGAGGCTTTTTTCTTGTATGAAAACTGTTTTAGGTTTTGAAATTTTTTAATGCAGGTAACATTTAACTGTTTTGAAAGTTTCATGTCAGGAGTACATCCTACTTCTATACTTCTTTTCAGTAGATTCATACATCTGTAATCCATTTCTACTAGCAGCCACAATGTGAGAATCAAACGTATGTTTTTCTGGTTTAGATTAGTAACACCTATTACTTCTGTTCGTAAATAATGGAAAATACTTCAGAATGCATGTATTCAGACGGTATGAGACAGAACTTTGTTTATAAGAGAAACATTAATATTCAAGCTTTACTGCAAAATGATCATTAGTGTAATTGTAAATGAGACATCTGGTTTACTTCTGTGAGATATATGACATCTCTTAGCTAAGTCTAATAATTTCTATCATACCAAGTCACGGGCTTTTAAAGAAAAGCCTACACAAAATGTGATAATAGAAAGTAGAATGAAATGATCTGTCTGGCTTACAGTGTAGTTTGACAAATGCATAGAGGGTATTTAATTTTGACTTCTGTTTCTTTTAGTATTGAGAGATGTACAGAAGAAGTGAATATTTATGTCACAAAATTTAACTTTCTGTAAATTCAACATAATTTCATGTAAAAATGTCAGGTCAGAGCAGCCATGGTATGGATGAGGAGAGTGGGACTACCTATCTGCCATTGGCTTGGCGCACACATGGCATTTTGAAGATGTGGAGCTACAGCCCTTGTTTTGTCCTTCTTCCCGCCCTCCCCATTCACTCCATCCCTGAAAAACACACACCTCTGAATCTATAAGGGGAAAGGAGGAGAGAGGAGATCCAGAACAGGAAAAATCACCTGTTGTCTGTGAAGTGGTACTTTCAGTTCCTTAAGCCGTATTTCTACACCGTCAAAGGAAACTTTCTTCTTTTCATTTCCAAAGGCTACATTTTTGAAGGCCCAGGTTTTGAATAAATGCACAATAGCGGGGTTGAAGAAATCTTGAAGACTAATTATTCTGATACGATTTTCTCAACCTTTCTCACTAAGTTGGGAAAAAATTTGTATTTTGAAAAATTTGAGGCAAGTGCATTTTACTGGTTTGGTTAATCTTGTTTCTTTGTTGAGCAGAGATTAATCATAGAAAGAATAAGTTCTACAATACTAAAGGTTTTAGGGTTTTTGTAACATTGTGAAGTAGCTTGCCACTGTCAACAATGACCTTTTGGGTTCTTTCTTTAGCTAGTTTTAATTGAATAAGAAGCAAAGTTTTTTACCCCTATGTAAGCTAGGAGTAAGCGATGGAATTGTCAGAGCTCCTAGGCCAGTGGTTTTTAGGATGCAATAAAAGCGTTGTAGTTTTCTGTAGCTAGTAGCTGCATGGATGCAAGACTGGATAAGAATGCATTGTACTGAATACATCTGGTAAAGATATCTGAAAAACAATTGTTACTTTCTTTGGCAAAAATAGTTTGACTCTTTCCCTTACCTTTGTTAGTCAGGTCGACTGTTGGTGAATCTCATCCAAAATTGTATAAAAATGTTTTTTTTCTATGAGTGTATTTTTAGCTGTTAGGAATGCTCAAAGTGTTAAAGGATCTGCCCTGTGTGGTCAGAATTTTATTCTTTAGAAAGTATCTGAGTTTTTTTCAAGCTGTCCATGTTGTATAGTCTGTTCTGTGGTATTTATATTAATAGTAACATTTTATAAACTATTTGTAAACTGTATAATTAAAGATATTGTTACGACAGACCCAATTGGATGCAGTTTTGAATGTTTTGGCATGACAACTTGAAACATGGTATCTTCACTGGAATTTAAAAATAGCTGTCTCATTGAATATAAAAACAAATATTCTTTTTAAAAGTCTGTTATGTAAATGTTATATCCAATTCTTTATAGTCACCATGATACCCATAGTACTTCAGGTCTCTGTATTTGTAGTTTATACATGCATTATTTAATTTTTCAGATTAAAGATTACAAGTTCTGGTAACTTGGTAGGGACTGCTTAAGGCTTTGATACAAGAAGGTGCGTAGATGGGTCTCAGCAAAAGAGGCATGAAAGTGAATGCGCGCTTTTTATTCTAACTTGTCAGGGCCTCTTGTATCTTTGTATCATGTTGAATGTTGTTTGCAAAAATGGGAACTAGGCCCTGTAGCAGGATTTTTGTTAAAATTATCATCAATAAAGTAATTAACATTCTTGTGTCAATGTGATTATCTTCTGCTCACGATCTCAGTTTGGGAGTACTTAATACCATTCAGGAATTTCTGTTAGCAGACCTGGGAAGCCAAGCTTTTATCATATTGAGTATACCAGAATTCTTTAAGAGATATTTTTCTTGTACTTCTTACAAGTGAAATGTATGTTCTTTGGCCTGGGGTGGATCCTGGAGTAAATTCTGTGGGTGTAAACCACAGAATATATGGGATAATGACTTTTATTAAACCCTTTGGGGTTCAGCTTTTTATTTTGTAAATGTATTTCACATCCAAATCTATATTTTAGTGACTCAAAGTAAACAGGGTCTGTTTATTACTGAAGAATTTGACAGGTTAAATCCTTTCTTAATAATTCACAGCTGGCAGATACACCAAAATCTGAAAGATACGAGCATGTACTGGAGGCATTAAATGACTACAAGACCATGTAAGTTGTTGATTTTTCTTGTTCTAAATATTATTTCCCTTTTTTAATCTGATGTAGATTACAGTTTTCAGTCTCCTTCCTTCATTCTGTCTGATGATCGCTGTGGCTGTAGATGACCCTGAAATTTTGAATACTGTTTCTGTTTCAGAATATCATCGCGTAGCTATTGGAGTTCGTGTGGAACCTAGATCATGAGCAAAATTTTGTTTTAACTTCCATTCTCTTCCCACTTCACATCCTGTATTTGAGAGTGAGGATTGCATTGGGGAAAAGGAGGAATAAAATAGCATTAGAATGAATAGTTTAATTTGCATAGTTTTCTTTTGCTTGTACACTTTTATTTTAAAAGTTGCTTTCCCTGGGGTCTGAATTTTAACAATTAATTTAAAATCATCTAGGTTTATGTCTGGGAAAGAAATAAAGAAAAAGAAACATCTGTTTGGCTTGAGAATTCGTGTTCCTCCTGTGCCACCAAATGCTGCTTTAAAAGCTGAGAAAGAACCAGAAGGAACATCTCATGAGTTCAAAATTAAAGGCAGAAAATCGTCTAAACCCATTCCTGATGTGAGGTAAAATAATCCACTGATTTTAGCAATGTTGTGGTAAATTTGAGTTGGTTTGGGTATGTTTTGGTGCCTACAAAAAGGCCTTTTTGTTATATAATGTACATGTGAACTTTGAAAATTAAAAATGTAAACTCATTTAGTTGCACATTGTACTTTAAGGTGTTTGTGAAACAGGTTGTGTGAACTTATTTGATTAATATTCTATTATTTTCTTCTGAAAAAGCATGAAATTTATCAGTAAAAACAATAGACAATATCCCAACTTTGCTTCCAGTTAGGAAACAAAATTGCTTCCCATTCTGGGCCTATTATGCAGTGATCTTTACTAGGATTCTAAATAGTGAGTATGATACGAAGTTGAAACTTATATTAATAGATATGTCATCTTTTTTAGCAAGTGTGATCGCGTAAGTAAACCATATTTAAAACTTATTCATTCCTCTTCAACATTATGGAGTCGGTAATGTCACTGGAAAGATCTTGTGTCTGTTTATTGTATTATTCCAGAGACAAAAGTCTATGGTTTTGTGGATGAAAATTTTGATTTACCAGAATAACCTCATTTAGTGCAATTTTTTAGCAATAGATATCTAAACATATATTCATTGCCTAAGGAAGGTATGTATTCAGTGACATGTATCTTTAATAATACAGCAGAAAATATAATTTGTTTTTCTAGGGAATTAAGTAATGGTATAGAAAGAAAGGGGAAAAAAAAATCAGTAGGTCGTCCACCTGGTCCCTATACAAGAAAAATGATTCACAAAACTCCGGAGTCATCTCCTCTGGTAAGATTTTGGATATTTTTTTCTTCTCCCTGTAACTGGATTATCATTTCTGAAGAAAAACATAACCACTTAATCTAGGTAGCGATATACCCCCTTCTCTCTCTCTCTCTCTCTCTCAAAAACAGATGTGACAATTTAAACTTAATCTAAAGTACTTTTTTTTCTTTCTTAGGATAATGAACCAATTCCAGTGATAGAGAACCCAGCCTTGGAATTACCCTGCTCTGTTGGGTAAATTAAAAAAAAAAATCCCTGTAAAACTGTTGTAATAGTCTATCATTTGTTTGTTCCTTCTGAAATGTCAGCTCAGTTTTTAATATAAGATTACTTTCATTGCATGGCAACCCTGTTATCTTGCATATCAGGAAATCTGATGGAACTGCACATTCCTCCAATACCTCAGATGTGGAATCCACAGGTGCTGCCAGTATGAAAGAAACTACCTCATCTAGCATTTCCAGACATTATAGGTAATTGTTCAATTACTCTATCTACTATAATGATTAAAATGTTTAATGATATATTTGGGTTTTATTTAATTTTTGCATTTTCTGGTATGGGGACAAGAGACAAGGGGTTCAG